ATGGAGTCCAGGTTTTGGGGTCAAAAGTGGTTTTTGTCTAGGACTGAGCCATTTTTTTGTGTGTTTAATATTCGCATAGAGAATCCATTTTTCATCACTGGTGTCAATTCTCTCCAGAAATGGTTCACGCGCCAGAAGAGACGAAGCAACGTTCACACGTTGGAAACGATTATCATCGGAGAGTTCGTGAGGCACCCGAGCACTTTCTTTAAGGAGTTTTCCCATATTCCTTAGATGTTTGCGTATTGTTTCCTGAGAGATATGCAATTTCAGGTCCATTTCACGAATGCCATCACAATGTTTAAGGCTAAAAGCAACTGAACGAAATTTGCTGAACCATCGTTGCTACTTACGGCCGTTTAAAAACATTTCCATAAACTTCTTTGATATTCTTTGTGGCAACAGAGACGTTTTTTTTCTTCTTGTATCCAAACAGCATTACATGCCGAATGTGTGTCTCGTCGTGTGCCATCACTTTAAGGGATTTGGGTGTACGAAACTTAACACATTATATAGCCTACACTAACGTGACGTTTAGACGGTTAGTTTAAATATTATACGTGATGTACGTTTTTTTTTGGGGGGGGGGGGGTAATGAAAGTATTCCAAAACGCGACATTCATTTCTTGACGATCTAATATCGTGATTGATTTAGGAAGTATATTCGCGAACTACGATAACTTTACACTTGTTTTACAGTAAATGTAATTCTAATATATTCTGGTTGCTTTAGTAAGCATATTCACAAACTACAATGATTTTAAACTTTGTCTACAGTATACGTACTTCTAAGATATTGTGATCGATACAGAATGGGAGTACATCCATGAACTACAATGATTTTACACTTGTTTTATAGTAAATGTAGTTCGAATATACTCAGATCGATTCGGGAAGTATATTCGCGAACTACAATGATTTTACACTTGTTTTATAGTAAATGTAGTTCGAATATACTCAGATCGATTCGGGAAGTATATTCACAAACTACAATGAATATGCTATACAATAAATGTAGTTCTGACATACTTAGGTTACGCGGAAAATGCTGAAACGCCACTAAAAACGAAGTTATCTGCATTTTAGTCTAGCAGCTATACTGAAGCAAAATGGCTAAAACGAGCTTTCAAATACGTAAATATAGATTTTGTTGGCAGTTTCAGCTCAGTACTAACGTTATTAGATGATTTCTATATTTTATAAAAATGTTACATATCGTTCGTTTTTGAATTTCGCGCAAAGCTACACGAGGACTATCTGCGCTAGCCGTCCCTAATTTAGCAGTGTAAGACTAGAGGGAAGGCAGCTAGTCATCACCACCCACCGCCATCTCTTGGGCTACTCTTTTTCCAACGAATAATGGGATTGACCGTCACATTATAACGCCCCCACGGCTGAAAGGGCGAGCATGTTTGGTGTGACAGGGATTCGAACCCGCGACCCTCAGATTTTGAGTCGAATGCCTTAACCACCTGGCCATGCCGGGCCTGTTACATATCTACAGTTCATATTAACTAGCTGCAATGAAATTGGTTTAGAAATTCACGCTGTTTTATCAAAGAAGCATTTTATACCTTCCTAAAGTCAGAGTTATTGTCTATTATTGTCCAAAATTATTTAAGTTCAGATTTAATTTTTTACAGCTAACAATATCATATATTTACAACCAAGTTACTAAATATAGTTATTGTTCCGGATATGCAAACTTTTAATCTTTAGTTATTGTTTTTTTTTCTCTTTCTATATTTACATATTCATAAATATATAGATATATATATAATGTATCTTTTGTGTAAACAATTCTTATCAGAATAAATACACCTTTTATCTCAACTTTCTATAGAGGTTTACAGTTCGGTGCTACTTCCGGATGTATCACGGTCACGTGACACTATAGGTGGCGGTGGTGTCGCATCGATATCTCTTGGCCCAGAAAATATTTTCCTTAATTTGGAATTCAATGGTATTTTCACTCCTAAAGGTAAGTCCCAATTCACGTTTATCCAGCTTTGCATATTATATAAATATTTCTAAAAACGTGAGATGGTATCATACGTGTATAATTCTTTACATTAATGATTTGTTTAACTTGGAAAACACAATTTCTGACAACAAAAATTCACCAGTTCTGTATTCCGTTTTTGAAGAAAAACTTGACTCAATCTTACCGATCTTACAATGATAAAGAATTAAAACTGAATATCCAGATTTTTATCATGCACACTCTATGTTTAGTTCCACTGCGCTTAGTGGTCGAATATTCAAAGTCACTACCAAGCTAACAGTTTATCGTGTCATAATTCTTTGCATAACAGAACAGCCATAAGCAATTTCTAACAAGAATCAGGAATGCTAAATACTTTCACAATCTTATCAAGCTGTAAGATTCCCAATTGACCAAATGTTGCTCTTTACTCCACATTAAATGTGTTTCCTTCCACGATTATCTAGAATACATTTTCTGTGATGTAATATTACATCCTGGCTTGCATGTAGCTGCCTACTGGTTAGTGTGCTCATACTATGAATCCAAGAGTCCAATGTTTGCGGCCCGTTGCCCTGAAGTCGCGCTCGACACTTTGGAGCCGTGGATGTGTTATATGAATAACAGTGTAATCACACTATTAGGTCACACAAGAGTAACCCAAGAGTTGACGGTGGGTGCTGTTGACTAGCTATTTTCTTCCTAGTGTATCAAATAGCCCTTATATAGTTTTTTTTTTTTTGAAAATTCAGAAACAGTACTTCTAGTTGTGAGTTTACTTTCGCTTTAAATGGTTCATGTGACTAACTGGCTTAAGATGTATGATCATTTTCTTCCTGAAATTAATGTTGGTGGCCATATTAAAAAAAAAATCAAGTCACTAAGCAGTTTCAACAAACCAACTAACTATTATTGAAAACCCACTGAACAAAATATCACATCATCATTGCTGATCAAACTTTCAAAAATGCAGGTGTAATTTACAACGCTAGAATCCGGGTTTCGATAGCCGTGGTGGGCAGAGCACAGATAGCCCATTGTGTAGCTTTGTGCTTAATTACAAACAAACAGTAATTTAAAAAGTATTCTTGAAATACTTTATTTCAAATGCAGATTACTGTATACGCTGGGATCATATTGGGACCAAAATAAAAGATATGTCATTATTTCAGCGTTAAACTACACAATGAGTTATCTCTGCTCTGTCCACCGCAAAGAATCTAACCACAGATTTCAGTGTTGTAAGTCCGCAAACTTATCCCTAACCCATTTGGAAACTAGGTTTTGAGACAACTACACCCATTCAATTACTGACAATTGTGACATATCATTAGAAACATTGTTCTATTGTATATTAAAATGGACTTTGTAGATTAAGTACACGTTAATTTCTCTCATTGTAGATGCAAGAGATATAAGTATACTGATAAATCTACATCGAGAAACTTCGACAGGCTCGAGAGAACTGTTGACCGAATACTCCCACATTTTATCGAAGGTCGATCCGGTAAGTATGTGTTACCATGGAAACTCATCTATATAGGTTAAGTACATTATATAAAAAGATTTTAGAGCCTCACTACGTCGTTACAGTCCGTGTAGCCACATTCGGTCCAGTGATGCTCTATCTAACAACCGTACATCCTGGTAATAGGTCTGCAGCCTAGTTTTTATTGCAAAAGGGTCACTCATGAAAGTGCCATGTCTAAAGTACATCCTGCCACTCTGTATGTCTTCCATAACAAACTTAGTGTAAGAGGACAATGACTTCTCAACACCCGTTCCAACAGTCTGATCACAAAGACGTCCACAGGCAACATGATCGCTATGCCTTTGTATGGAATATCATGAATACTTATTTCATTCATAAGTGATGTTAGTTTCCAAAGTCATCGTACTAACGTTGCTAGGAATGATGTTAGTTCCACAATCATAATGGTATGTTTTCTACGAGTGATGTTACTTTTCACTCTCATCATAGTATGATTGCTAGGGGTGATGTTAATTATCACAGTTACATCATAGTAAAGCTGCTAGTAGTGACGTTTGTTTCCACAATCATCATAGAACGTTGCTAGGAATAATGTTTGTTTCCACATTGGTGGTAATGTTTTTATGAGTGGTGTTAGTTCCACAGTCATAGTAACGTTGCTAGGAGTGATATTAGTTTCCACAGTCATCGCAATAAGTTTACTTGGTGTTATCGTAGTGACGTTGCTAGAAGTGATGTTAGTTTTCACATTAATAATGGTATGATTGCTAGGGATGATGATAACTATCCCAATTTCATCATAGTAAATCTGCTAGGAGAGATATTAATTTCTACAGTCATCGTAGTAATGTTGCTAGGAAAGATGTTAATTTCTACAGTCACCGTAGTAACGTTGCTAGGGAAGATGTTAATTTCTACAGTCATCGTAGTAACGTTGCTAGGGAAGATGTTAATTTCTACAGTCATCGTAGTAACGTTGCTAGGGAAGATGTTAATTTCTACAGTCACCGTAGTAACGTTGCTAGGGAAGATGTTAATTTCTACGGTCATCGTAGTAACGTTGCTAGGGAAGATGTTAATTTCTACAGTCACCGTAGTAACGTTGCTAGGGAAGATGTTAGTTTCCACAGTCATCATAATGAGGTTACTAGGAGTGACATGAATTTTGTAGTTTAAAACATAGTACAGATTGATAAAAACTCGCATGATGTATGACTTAGTGCGTCTTACACACCGAAAAATACGGTAAATCAAATTTTGGGGTAAAAAACGCAAGCAGATTTTGACTCCTATACACCGAAGGTATGAATGATATATAATGTTCCGCCATATGATGCGTTTTAGAGACATTGCGTTGTTTATTAGTTACCGTATTTTTCGGTGTATAAGACGCACTTTTTTTACCCCAAAATTTGATGTCAAAATCTGCTTGCGTCCTATACACCGAAGGTATGAATGATATATATGTTCCGCCATATGATGCGTTTTTAGAGACATTGCGTTGTTTATTAGTTACCGTATTTTCGGTGTATAAGACGAACACTTTTTACCCAAATTTATGTCAAATCTGCTTGCGT